CACTAAAAACGTCAGGATTAACAGCAACAGCCAAAAATTTGGGGAGGAAAAAGGAGGGAGAGGTGTAGCATAACAAAGTAAAAACATTATTACTCCCAGTTACTAAAACAATGTGCTCTGGTATCCAATCATTACTATTGACTAAATGCTAAAAAGAACCAAGTAGAGATGCATTTAGGATATGATAAAGGTAGCTTTATTTCAAGGCAACAAGAAAAAGATTTTTTTTAATGGGGCTGAAATAACTGATTAACTTATTAAGGAAAGTTATTTCACTTCACATATTATGTCAAAGTAAATCCCAGGTGAGCAGAAAGAGATAGATGCGAAAAATGAAGCTAGAAGAAAGTTACCTGGGTAGAAGGATCCATTAAATATGAAAGTAAAGTATAGCCATAAAAAGAAAGTACTAACCTAAATTTCTTAAAAGGTAAAAACGCTTTCGTGTTTAAAAAAAACAAAAACAAAAACACTGAAAGCAAATAAAAGGCAAATGCGGAGCCAGGGGAAACGTACAGGATGGGGCAAAGGGCTGTATCCTAAATATACAGAAGGCTACAAATGGCATCACAAATCCAAACCACCACCCGAGGTGAGCAAGACAGACCAGAAGGTGTCCAGTTCCGGGTCTCTAGTCATCATCACAACTAATGAGGAAATACAGAGGAAATCTTATGAAGGGGAAGGAAGGCAGGAAAGAAAACGCTCAGTAAAGTCGTGGAGGAGATGTGGATTCCATCATATATCTAGTCACACTTTATATTGCGTTGTCAGAAAAGTCATGACGCATTTTTGCAATGAAAAACATAGAGAAAAATACATCATGACTTTTCCGACAACCCAATATAATGGTTTGGGCAACTTTATGCTATAATGTGAGACAAACTTCTAAGACAAGACTTGGCTACATCTATGAAGACAAAACAAAAAAGCTCATGTGCTTTCACTCAGCAATTTTAGGACAGACTGAATCCTAAAGAAATGAGAAATCCATAGAAAGATTTAGCTCTTCAAAGGATCTTCACACCACAGTAGAGAAAAGGATCAGGTAACACACGGTACACACGACAGGTGACTAGTTATTACAGTACTTTCCTAAGACGGAACGGTATGTGCCCTTTAGAAGTCCTATTACTACATGGGGAGCGAGTGGTAAACACAGGAGATGCCTGCCCTCAGGTCGTTTGCAGTCCAGCAGGGATACAGACAGTAGCTAAACACACTGTTTCAGGTGAAGGGGTTCCATGACCTGAAGCAGGGTAACACCTAGTCAGGGAAGGTGGTGTGTGACGGCACTGCTGAAAGAGTGACACCTGAGCACAAATATGACTGTGTGTTCCAGGCAGAAGGAACAATTTTAAGGGAATAAGCCTGGCACGTTCAAGTGGAGGCTGGTGCGCCCGGCGGAAAGGTAGGAGACCCGTGTATGTGACCGGCGCTGCTGGGGGTCTAAAGCGGCCCCATCCACTCGGGAGCCACAGTCACAGGTGCCTACTGAGCATTAGATACAAGGCTAGCTCAGATGTGCGTGGAATGGGAAATACACATGGGACTGTGAAGACAGTCTCCCCATAAAGGAACGTAAAACACACCATCAAAAATCTCCTTAAACTGATTATTTCTAGAAATCATATTTTGGGTTAAATAAAATATATTTTGGCTGGGCTCTCTTTTTTTTTGTAAATGTGGCTATCAGAAAATTTGAAATTACTTAGGTGGCTCCCATTATATTTCCAATGGACACTGCTGATCTAGGGTGTAAGGGCCATAGTAAAAAGTCTGAATTTTGTCTATTGAAACGTCATTGGGGGGTTTTGAGCCTGGGGGTTGAAATTATACATTTCAATGGCTGTTCTCCACAGAAGCAGCAGGAGACTAGGGGCGGAGAGCTGAAGCAAGGACACCATTACCATCTTCCCTACACCAAAGGTGTTCAGAAGGTATTTGCTACAAGCTTGAAGGTAGAGGCAGCCTCCGACTCACTGTGTAGAACTGAACTTTTAATTGTTTAGGAATATGAAGAATATACACAAACAGAAAGACTGGGGGTATACCTGCCAAAATATTAACAATAGTTATTTGTTCTTTGTAGCTTTCTATTCTTTCTGAAAGTTTGAAAAAAACAAAACAAAACAAAAAAACCTCAAACACATTGCAACAATAATCAAATACAAAAATGAGGTTTTTGAAAGCAGGATAAAACAGCCCTTCCAAAACAAAGCATTCTCAGTATTTGTCTGCAAGCTACATTTACTGTTAAAAATAAATTCAAACCATCTCTACTCCCATGGCTTTACATAAAAGCAGGTTATTTAAAGCTATACATAAACTCGTAGCACACACACCCATTTTCAGGAAGTGAATGCTGCTCCCTCGTTTGTCACAGCACTGCTGTTAGCATGAGAAACAGAGATGCCCCAGAAGCACATCTTGGGGCACGCCCAAATCTGAGGCTATGGAAGTAAAAAGTACTGAAATGCGTCGCTAACATATGCTGATGAAGACCCACCACTTGTCTTTCTCCATAAATGCTCCATAGGATATACCCAGTCCCTTTCTTTAAAGGCCCTGCCATTTGATAGGGGCTTCCCTTCACTGAGGTGTGCAAACCTGGAAGGATGAATGAACCCAGGACCGGTTCCTTGTACAGGATGAGTATGCTGAGGACAGGAGAAATGCTAAGTGCAGACACACCTCGTCTTCCTGCGCTCCCTTTACTGCGCTTCAGGGTGTTGCATCATCATCACAGCCATGATCATCATTATTATTTTTACAAACTAAAGGCAAGCTCCTCCACCAGCCAAAGTTAGGACTCGCTTTACTGCGATCCCTGCTTTATTCTGATGGTCTGGAACTGGACCACAACATCTCTGGGCTATGCCTGTAATTTGTCAGAGATTACACAAGGTCCGGGAGAGGAGAACACAGAAAGAGTGATTTGTGTCACATACAATCAAGTGTTTTTCCTGCTGTATTTACTTTTACAAGGAGATAGCAAATAGTGTAAGACTTCTCACAATGTGATTTCAAAGGAAAGGATTCATCACACAGATGAACCGGAATCTTGGTTTCTCATGCAAATGTGAAAAAACTAGGAACCAATCATTACGGCTATGAATCTCATTAAAACACAAAAGAAAATCCTAGTTTGTCATCCGTTTGATCTCTAGCATTTCAATGTCTTTTACTCCTGACTACCTAAAATCTTTCTAATGCAATCTACATTAGTTACTCTAGAGAAGCTCTTGCAGTCGTGCACCAGGAGCCCGGAAACAAGAAATGTTCATGGAGCACAGTTGTTGATAGCAAAACAAAACCAAAAGCATAATCTCAACACCCACAAATTATGGAGGATTAACACAACAGTACACAGCAATGAAGCGAATGCACTACAGTCACATAATATTTATAAAGCTCAAAAGAAAAGCAAACCAAAAAACTTACAAATACATGTGATGAAACTATTTTTCAGAAAGCCAAGGGAATGATAAACAAAATCTACTAGACCTGGCTAAGAGGCCGGGCTGTAGGACAGATAAGAAACACATAAGCAGATGCAAGTTTTGGTAACGTCCCAGTTCCTGGTTTGGGAGGCGGAGTCATGGTGTGTTTTTTTTTTACCATGTTTTATCTCTTTATACTGTGCTGTGTTATGTATTCTTTTGTGGTATTAAATATATTTTTGAATAATTTTTTCGGCTTTGTTGAGGTATAACACATACAGTAACCTGCACATAAAAAGGGTAAAATGTGACCAGATATGACAGATCCACACAGGAAACTCTCTCTACAATCAAGATTATAGCCCTTTAACCCCTAAGTTTTCCTCCTGTACCTTTGTGATCCTTGCCTCCCTTAAATATATTTTTATTTTATTTTCAATTTATACACTTTATTCATGTATTCCTACAGCTATCATCTTTTTTTTTTTTAGATACTGTTAATGTTTAATTTACGACTACTAACATTAGACAGTATTGACTGAAAAAGAGTTAAAAGACAACCTGCTTGGGAAATTTAAAGGTGCGTTATTTTGCTAAAAAAAAGAACATTTTCCCCTTAAGCAAGTGTCCTAACATTGGTTAACATAACTATTATGTAACTGAATCTTAGAAGTTTATGGTATCTTAGTGGTGATCACAGCGCGAGGTACGCAAATGCAGAATCACTATGTTGTTCACCTAAAACTAATATATTGTATGCCAACTAAAATTAAAGTTTTAAAAAGTTTATGTATTTCACATTAAAAAGACCAAATTCTGAATTTGACCTGAGAGAAACATTTAATCTTTTTTCTCAGAGCATCCAAACCATTAAAAACTGCCCCGTGTTTTTTACCGCCCACCAGGTTTAAATATAAATAGTCGGTAGATGACCCCAAGACCCTTAACTTTGTTCACGTTGGCTAACAACTTTCTAGTTGTGAAACAAATCATGATGGCGTTTGAGCCGTGCTGCTTCACCAAAACAGTTCAAAATAAAGCTAAAATCACTTCCAACACCACCACCTTCCGCACTTGTTTATGTAGCTGGACGCAAGCTGGCAAGTACTATGTCAAAGGGGAGAGAAAAGTTCAGAAATCCTGGGTCCAACCCACAGGAGCGGAGACCAACTCCGGCCCCTTCCCGTCCGCAATCCGGGCAGGTGGAAAACGTCCCGGAAGGGCCTGACAGGCAGCGGGGGCGCCACTGTTCGGTGACAGGGACGCCCCGGGACCCCCGCCCGCCAACTGCTCGGAATGCGGCCGCAGGGGTTCCCGTCCGGGCGCCCCACCCTACCCACCACCCTGGGAAGCCCACCTGGGAACGCGTGCGCCGCGCGTGGGGCCCCCGCCCCGGGACCCCCTGGCCTCGGCCCTCAGTGGACGCCGGGCCTCGCCGCCACCTGCCGCCCTCCCGTCCGCTTCCGGTCGCCGCGGGAGGGCCGGGCCGCGCCTCACGGAGGGGGAAGGGCGGGGGGGAAGCCAGCGCCGCCTGGGCCGCTCCTCACCTCGCCTCACCTGGCGGCGGCCCTCTCCGCCGGACGCGATGCCCGCCGCCGGTTGCCGCCGGTGAAGGAGGAGACGTGAGGCCGCCGAACCCCGGTCGCTCCGGCCCCGCCGCCGCCGCCAGCCCCTCGTCCGCTGTTTAGTAAACTTTTCTGTTTGGTTGCTCGGCCTGTGACGCGACGCGGAAAGCGCTCGGGATTGGCCGGCTCGCGGCGCTGACGCGGCACCCCGCCCCCCCCGCAGCCTAATTATTACCGGCCGGACGGCCTGCAGACCGAGGGGCGGGGGCGGGGTCAGAGCTCGGAGCGCGCGACGATTGGCCAGGCCCCCAGACGGGGCGGAGCGTGTTGGGAGACGCCTTCCTCCTTCTCCGCCCCGTCTGCCAGCGCCGTCCCGCCTTCGCGCGTCCGGGCCTCCCGCCGCGGCCTCTCCCCGTTACCGCTGAGGGAGCGCGGTTTCGGGGGTCTCGTGGACCGTCGAGGAAGCTGGGGAGCAGGTGCAGGTCCCTCAGGCACCGCGTAGGGCCTGGCGTGTACCTGTCCGGAACTGAGGCTCCAGAAAGAGTCACGCTTCGCCTGCCATTTGTGCAAGAGGAATCCTGAGTGAGCTCTCCCACGTGCAGCCCCCAAGCCCCCGAACTTGCAAGCAAAGTCCGAACTCAGGGTGCGCACCCGAAGGCAGGGCGATTCCCGGTCCTGAGCCAGGGGTTGCAGAGAGGAGCAAGCCGAGAAGCGCGCGTGCACTCACGCAGGGCACACGCGCCCCGCAGTACCGGGTCCCCACAGCACTACACAAGGATCCCTGCCTGTATAGATTTTTCACTGTAATGGGGGAGGTACAAGTGAAGAACATAAGTCCCCGCATTTCTCCGCCGAGCGGGCCGAGGGGTGAGAATGGCCCCTGGAAGCGTCTCGGCCTTCCGGCTTTCACGTACAGCACAAGCAACAAGTGCAGGATCAAGTTGGCGGTCAATTCCATCCTATTACCGCGAGTGAGCTGGTCGATGGCCCGACAGGTAGGAGGCGAACCGAGTCCCGAGGACCCCATTTTTGTTTTTAAATTTCACAGTTTGTTCATTATGAATTGTTTGCATACACGTTGATTTTTTTTTTAATGTATCGTGTTCAAACGCTATTCGGTTGCAGAGCTTTTTGGTGCCCCTTTAAATTTTAGGCTGGAAGTGAGTATCTCACTATCCTCACCCTAGTCTGGAGAGCCTTACTGGGAGGAGAGAGATTTTGACATGACTGACAGTGTAAAGGTTAGGTGTTGTGCAAATGCTTCTGGGATAGGAAGCAGTTAATTACAGAGAAGATACAGGCCAGAAAAAAAAGCCTTCAGAGAGGAGGTGGCACTGGCTTTTGACCCTGAAGAGTGTCTAAGGCTTAGCCATGCTGGGAACCCAAGGAAGCGTTTTCCTGCTCTCCTCCAGTCTGGAAGAGACAGTGCCCAGGGTTTGACAGACAGATGCTTCAGAGGCAAGGAAAGGAATTCACTGTGAAGTTGAGCCTCCTGTAAGCAATAAGAAGGGGACAGGTGGTAAAATGGAGGGCGCTTGCCCAGGGCCTAAAAATATTCAAAACGTGTCTTTAAAGAGCATTCAAATTTAAATTTAAAAACAACCCTACAAACAATGAGCTAACCCAGCATAAGAGGATTTTTCCCAAGGATGTTCATCTCTGACAACGGAGACCAGGTTCCAATGGAGGCTACAAATAGTTTTAGGGTCAATTCCTACAGGTCTGAAAAGCCAAGTTGAGTAGTTGACTTTACTTAGTGGGAAATGGGAAGCCATTATAGAACTGTAAGAAGGGAAGGAAATGGTGGATTATAACAAGTTGGTGGATTCTGCCTGTACTAGGAATAATTTTGCAGCCTGGGGTCCTTTCGACTGTGTACTGCCCTCTTGCCATTGGCTGGTAGAACTATACGGAAGGAATTTTGGATTTTGGCCAGGGTTCACATCCCTCCTCAAGACATGTTTTTGGCTCAGTGACATTGAGCAATACCCAACTCCCTGGGTCTCCCATTTTCTGAGTTTGGGAAACATATGTGAGCAAAACAAAGATCCCTATCTTTGTAGATGTTTCACTCTAGTGGGGGGGGATACAAATGAAAACCGTAAGTAATTATGTTGTGAGTTAGAAGATGGTTAGTGGTGGGGACAGCCGAAAAAGTACAGCAGGGCAGAGGATGGCAGAGGGCGGCTGCCGAGTTAAACGGGGCAGTCGGGTAGGCCCCACGGAGAAGGTGAAGTCTGAATGGAATTGTAGAAGAGGCGAGGGTGGAGTCCTGTGAATAGCTGGGAGAGTGGTAATGTAGACTGAGTGCTGTACCTGAGCACAGGCCCCCAGGTAGGGATTGCCCAGGAAGCCCTGTTCCTGCGGCCAGGTCGGAGGGGAAGCCGGACAGGCAGGGAGCACCTGACGATGTTTGGCTCTGTGGGCCATTGTACATACGTTGGCCTTCGCTGTGAGCAAAGTGAGGACCCCGTGCGTAGTTTTGAGCGAAAAGTAACACGATCTGACTTAGATTATAAAGGGTCATTCTGGCTACTGTATTTTAGAGTCGACTAAAAAGACAAGAAAAGTGAAAGCAGGGACACCTATGAGGAGGGTACTACTGGCTGAATCCACGTGGGAGATAAGGGTGGCTGGGACCAGGGTGACAGCAAGGGAGGCAGTGAGAAGTGGTCAAGTCCTTGGATGTATTTTGAAGGTGGAGCCACAGAGTTTCCCGATATCCAGGTTTTTGAGCCTGAGCAACTGCAATGTTGAGCAGGAGGAAAAGCCGGCCATTACTTTGGCACACACTGAACTGGACACGATACATCTGTGGGGACATCAGGTAGGCAGTTGGATGTACATGGCTAGGGCTCAGGGCAGAGGTGTGGGGGAGATAAAAGTTTGGGGGACATCATCACGTAAAGGATACTTCACGCCATGATATTTGGTCAGAAAGTGAGTACAGGGCATCCTGAGAACCAAGCCCCTGGAGCTCTGACATTGAGAGCTTATGGAAAAGAGTGGGAATTAACCAAGGAGACCAAGGAAGAGGAAACAGAGGTGGGAGGAAACTGAAAAGAGCCTGGTGTCGTGGAAAGACATGTCGAGGAGGTCGTGGCTACCTGTGTCCATGGCTACTGGTGGTTGAAATATGATGAGTATTGAGAATTGACAGCAGCATTTAGCAACCTGGAGGTCACCTTGGGGAGTGTAGTTCAGGTGGCTGGCAGAAGCCTGATGGGCATGGCTGTCACACCTGACTTATCAGGGGTTAGGTTGGGGGGTTAATGACATAACAAATGTGAAAGATCTTTGTCAACTGAGCACGTTCTCATGGATGTTACCTAAAACTTCCTGTTATTCACCTAACACACTTGGGTTTCCATGTACATTTGGTGTGACTTTGCAGAAATTGGGTTTGCATGGCCTTGGCGGGTTCCTTCGTGTGCAGTCTGGGCAGAGAGATTACAGCATTGCACGGTGATTTGGAATTCGGACAGCCCACCGCCAATAACTAGCTTTGTGGTCATGAGAAAGTCATGTAAACTGGGGACGAAAGCCTACCTTCAAAGGGGTGTTATGAGGATTAAAAGATACTGCATTTGTACTCATCCAGTGACTGTCGCATGCCGGCTTCCTTCCAGCCTGTGGTGTTAAGTGCTGGCCTACAGCAGGGAGTAAGAAAGAACTGTAGGCCCTGCCCTCATTGACTTGCGTGCATAACTCTTCTTATGGGCAATGTACATAAACAATATATTTATAGCACAGGCGCATAATAGATGCATAGCTTCTGCCACATTCTGTGAATCAAAGACGGTCACAAGACTGACCCAGATTCGAGGATTGTGGAAATAGACCCTACTCTCTAAAGCCAGTAGGTTGCAAAGAATGTGCGGCCATGTCCATTCACCCACCAGCCTACCTTTTCAATATTGTCTGCAAGGGCCCACCTACTCCTCACCTAAGTGGGGACTGGCCAGGGAGGCATAAGGCCAGACCAGAATCTCAAGCTCTGGTTAGCGGTGGAGGAAGTACCCTTAAAAAAACTTCTCACAGACTTGTGTTAATAGTGCTTCTTCTCATGACTTTTCATCAGTCTAAACCAAAGGTTCTCAAACGTTTTGGTCTCAGGAACCCCCGGGGGTCCATGGATCACACTTTAAGGACACTGGTTTAAACCACCATATGTGGACGGTGTCTTTAACTTGTTGAAAGAGTATTGCTCTTAAAGAAGGTGCCCAGGCAAGCAGCTCCCTCAACTCATGGACATACTTATGCCCATCTACTAACATTCGTTACATTCAGTCCCCAGCCCATTTCATGACCTTAACCTACCGAACTCCTACTCATCCCTCAAAACCCAGTAAAAATTCCTGATCCTTGTTGATGGATTTCTTGACTCCTGTAGGCAAGGAGAGGACTCTTCTTACGTGCTGTCGCACACTTTATTCCTCTTTCTGCAGCAGCACTTACCATGTTAATTAGAAATGTATGTCTGCATGTTTGCCTCCTCTGCAATTAGACCAGAAAATTGTTTTTCGGAAGTTTGATTTTTTTTTTTTAATGTTGGCATGAGATGAGGGTGTCAATCCGTCCATCTCCATATCTCTAACTAATTGTCCTAATAAATTTTCAACCCTTTTCTTCCTCATGGCTTTGTTTGAGGCCTCCTTTAGCATATGTTAACTTTTTGTACATAATAGAGCCTGCATCTGGACTTTTCCACTAATCTTGTAATTCTGCCTCATCATACTGCTTTATAGTAAGTTTCCGTATCTCCTGGAGCTTGTCTTTTCATCATCTATTGCTCTTTTGAATTTCATTCGAAATTCTGATATGTTTATGCCTCCAGGTTAACTTTAGAATAATTTGGTTAGTTTCTAAAATCCTGCCAAGATTTTAATTGGGGTTACATATGCCTAAAACACTTTGGGGGAGCAGGGAGGGAAATGTGTGTCTCTTCACAGAATTTGGATGGACCATCACAAAATCTGGGTTTTAGTTTTTTCCATTTATTCAGCTTAAAAAAAACAACAACACAAAACAAAAACCTCTCAACATATTTTATTTCCTTAATTTTACATAATTTAGTGAAATATTAAAAGAAATACACATGATCATAATATTTCTCATTAATAATTCACTTGGTTATATTATGCTTTGTTGATACTGTGGATAAAGTTTTCTTTCTTACATTTTTAAACTGGTCATGGTCATATATTATAATGCTATTTAATTCTATATGTCT